AAATCTATAACCTTAAGAGTTTCAAGTTTGTGCTCTGTAAGATGAGAATAGCCATACGAACAATTCCTGTCATTCCCAAAACTGTTTTTCTGGCTTTCATATTGAAATCTCCTGGGCCTCCAGGCTTCTACCATCCTAAGTCTTTGCTACTTGCTGCTCTCCCCAGTTTCAATTCCTTCTCCCTTCTACTTGATGGCAGCTTTAATCAATGAACTCCAGTTTATTTTTTCCACTAACTTAAAAATTTTTTTTGTTTAATTTGTGTGGGTACATACTAGGTGTATATATTTATGAGGTACATGAGATGTTTTAATACATTGCATGCATTGCATAATAATCACATCATGGTAAATGGGGTATCTGTCTCCTCAAGTATTTATCCTTTGTGTTACGAACAATCCAATTCTACTCTTATTTTTTAAATGTATAATTTCTATTTTTGGGGGGAGGCCTGTTCCACCACATCATTCAATTATCCCACTCCTGGGTTTAAATCCAAGCATTGTTAACAAAATAGTGAGTTTATGAAACATTTTATTGGAAGTGTATTTTATATTTCTTAATCTAAAATCTATTGTTTTTTTCCCTGTGAAAATATGAAATAAAGTATTTTACACTACTTCCTAGGATTTGATATAATGTACTGAAATCTAAATTTTACTTCAGATTAATGTTAGCCAAACTAATTTGTTAATATCATTTAATGATGTCAATATTTAAATGTTTTTTTCTACATTTACATCTTTTTTTAAATAGCATTATTGAAATATAATTCACATACCATATATTGTCACCCCTTTGAAGTGTACAATTTAATGTTTTTTGGTGTATTCACAATATGTACAACTGTCACCGCAGTCAATTTTAGAATATTTTCATCACCTCAACAAGAAACCCTGTACCCTTTAGCTATCACCTCTTGGCCCCCATCTCTCCCACTCCGAAGCAACCACTAATTTACTTTCTGTCCCTGTAGATTTGCCTATTCCGGATATTTCATATCAATGAAATCATACAATATGTGGTCTTTTATGACTAACTTCTTTCACTGAGCATATTTTCAAGGATCAACTTTGTTGTAACATGTATCAATACTTTATTCCTATTTATGGTTGAATAGTCCATTGTGACGTTATACCACATTTTGTTTATTCATTCAACAGCTGATGAACGTTTAGATTGTTTCTATAGTTTGGCTATTATGAATTATGCTGCTATAAAAATTTGAGTATGACATTTTGTATTTATATATGTTTTCATTTTTCTTGGGTATATACCTGGGAGCACAATTGCTAGGTCATATGGTAACTCTATGTTTAAACTTCTCAGGAACTTCTCAACTTTTACAAACTGGCTGTACTCTTTTACATTCCCACCAGCAGGGTACAAGCACTCTTATTTCTTCACATCCTGGGCGACATTTATTATTATTATTATTTGACATTTTTATTCTAGCCATCCTAGAATAAATGAAATAGTGACTCATCGTGGTTTTGATTGTTTTGATTGTGGATTTGATACTCTTCTTTCTTTGAAGAGTAACAATGCTGAACATGCGTTCATGTGCTTATTGGTCATTTGTATATTTTCATAGATCTATTTAGTTCCCTTGCCCATTTTTAATTGAATTATTTGTCTTTTTATTATTGAACTGTCTGTGTTCTTTATACAGGTGACCCTTGAGCAATGTGGGGGTTAACGGTGCTGACCTACTGTGCAGCTGGAAATCCATATACATAACTTTTGTTTCCCCCACATTTAACTACTAATAGCCTACTGTTTGACTGGAAGCCTTACTGATAACATCAGTGGTTAATTAACACATATTTCATATGTTATATACTGTATTCTTACAATAAATAAGCTAGAGAAAAGAAAATGTTATTAAGAAAATCATAAGGCAGAGAATATATTTACTATCCATTATGTGGAAGTGGATCATTATAAAGGTCTTTATAGCAACACAAATGAACTAAGACAGTGTGGTACTTCCATAAGAATAGACATGTAGATCAACAAAATAGAGGAGAGTTTAGTCTCAGGGGTGGCAGAGGTGGAAGAAAATCTGCCTATAAGTGCATTTGTGTAGTTCAAACCTATGTTGTTCAATGGTCAACTGTGTATTCTAGATAAAAGTCCCTTAATTAGACATATGATTTGCCGATATTTTCTCCCATTCTGTAGGCCGTCTTTTCACTTTCTTGATAGTGTTCTTTGTAGCCCAAAAGATTTTTTTAATTTTGATGAAGTCAAATGTATTTGTTTTTTCTTTTGTTGTTTGCCCTTTTGATGATTTAAGAAATCATTGCCTAATCCAAGGTTACGAACATTTTCCCCTGTGTTTTCATCTAACAGTTTTATGATTTTAGCTCTTACATCTAAGACTTTGATCTATTTTTCATTAATTTTTAATAGGGTGCAAAGTAGAGGTCCAAATAATATTTTTTTTTTTCCCATGGAGACATCCAGGTGTCTCAACATGATTTGTTGAAAAGACTATTCTTTTTATATTGAATATCCTTGAAACCCTTGTCAAAATCAGTTGACCACAGGACAGATATATGGATTTATTGCTGGATTCTCATTTCTATTCTGTTATGTTTAGTTGGTTTATAGTATTTTCTTTGTCTTGTATTATTGATCTTCTGCCTAGATTTTCTATCTGTTAGTGCAAGGAGTTATTGAAGTGTCCAACTACTATTGTTGAATTATCTGGTTCTTGTACTATTTCTGTCAGGTTTTGTTTTACATATTTTAGTACTCAGAAATTAAGTGCATACATGATTATAATTGTTATATCTTCCTGATGGATTAATATTTTTATCATTATAAAATGATCCTGTATATCTTAGTAATGAGTTTTTTTGTTTGTTTTAATGTCTCTTTTGACTGGCTGTCTTGTGGTTGCTACTTGTATGATATATCTTTTTCCATCCATTTACATTCAATCTATTTGTATCTTTGAATCTAAAGGATACCTCTTATACACAGTATATGGTTGGATCTTTTCAATCCAGTCAGACCTTCTCTGCTTTCTGATTAAATCATTTAATCTATTTACATTTAATTTTATTTTTGATGTGGTTAGATTTATATCTGCCATTTTGCTTTCTGTTTTCTATATGCCTCAAGTCTTTTTTGTTCCTCTATCCCTCTTTTACTGCTTTCTTTTTCATTAAGTAAATATTCCTCATGTAATATTTTACTTTAATAATTTTACTACTTTTGTTTCTTTAGTGGTTGCTCTAGGATTTACCATGTACATCTTATCATTGGTTTCAGAGTTATACTAACTTAATGCCAGTGAGATATAGAAATGTTTCTCCTATGTAGCTCTGTTCCCTTTTCCCCCTTTTTGTGATATTACTATCATATATATTACATCAAAAATGTTTTAAACCCAAGAATACATTGTTATAATTATTGCTTTATATAATTTTAAGACTCTTAAGAAGCTGAAAGAAGAAAGGAAAATATATATTATAACTTTTGTTATATTAACATTGTTTATCATTTCTGGTTTTCTTCATTTGTTCCTGTGGATTTGAATTACCAACTGGAGTCATTTCTTTAGTCCCATACACTTTGCTCTTACCCACCTCATTTCTGCTGTTATTGGGAAATATATTACATTTCTCTATGTTGTATGCCCAGCAATACACTATATACATATTTTTATACAGTTGCCTTTTACATCTTTTAACAAAAGAAAGAAGCGGTAATTTTCATTTATACTGTCTTTTCTCATTACATATTTATTTTTACTTATGCTGCTTTGTCATGTGGATTCAGATTACCATGCATTTAGATTATAAGTCAGTATTTTGTATCTAAGCCTTTGCTATTCTCTCCTATTCCAAGTTTCAATGGAAATTCCATCTTTTACTTCACAGCAGCTTTCTTTTGATCTATTACCTTCAATTTTATTTGACCTGTTTCATATTACCCTGTAATTTCACTCTTAGCTTTGAAATCCAAATGAAAACAAAATAGTGAATTTAAATAGCACTTTTATTTGAAATTCAGCTTTTGTTTCTTAATCTTGAAAAGGAAATTTTTGTTCCTGAAAAACTAAAATGAGATGTTTTAGTCCACTTCCTCTGCCTTGAATATAATGTTCTGGAATTTAAATTTTCCTTCAGATTAACATTAGTCAAAATAAATTCCTAATGTCATTTTAATAATACTAATATTTAAACATCAGCCTACATTTAGATATCAAATTAGTAATTTACAGCCTACATTTCATTGAAGACCAGTAAACTTGACCAGAGATAAAGGAGGAGAAGAAGGGGCTCAGAAAAGAGGATGTAAGCAATACCAGCTGTCAATGAGGAGAGGGGTGGTCAGACAAGGGGAGAGTGAGTGGTTAGAAACTTCACCTGGCTGTCCTTAGATTGACACTTTGAAATACTATTTTGTAGTCATTTTGGCTAATAGTCATTTTTACCTGTATGAGTCATTTGGGCTAATTTTAAAAGAATCCACTTTTAGACTTTAGCTGAAACCAACATAAATACTGCTTTTGCTAGGTTCAACCCAGTTCAATTTTCATTTAAATTCAAAAGACTCCACTGAAAATTTTCCAGTAAACACTTTAACTACTACTTTCACCTCTCTCTCTTCATTTAGCACTCAATAGCAGTGTTTTCCAGTATTAATATGGCAAAACTTTATGATATTTATTTCATATTTTAGCTCTAACCTAAGCAAATCTAGTATCAAAATAGATGCTGAAATGATTTAGTGCATTGATTTCAGCGCACAATTTATTCACTCACCTTCCATAGATTAGAGAATAGCTTTGAATTGAACACAACCTCATTTTCATTTTGCTCTTATCTTTTAAAGAAAAGACTGTTGTAAGAGACTTAGGTGAAGTAATAGTAATGGAGTAGGAAGTAGATACTAAGAGGCTATGTGTCCAAGAAATCAGCCTAAATTTTGGAAAAACCTCTGATGAACCAAACTGTAATGCTTCCCATCTTTCTTCTGGCCAGGATATCCATTACCGAAACTTGACATGAACTTCTCATTGGAGAATAGAGAAGAGCCATGGGTGAAGGAATTACAGGATTCTAAAGAAATGAAACAATTACTTGATTCCAAGATAGGTAAGTAATTGTTCTTTGATATACTAGGGGAAAAAAAAAGAAAAATTTAACCTAAATAAAGATAAAGAGTTTGGAATTCTATTTAGGAATTTCTATGTTCCTACCACTGGTTTAACATAACTCTTCATTTTCCTTCACTTTCTTTTCTCCATGGAACACAATATCATCTGCAGTTTCTATTTCTTTTCTCAGGTTTTGAGATTGGGATAGAAAATGAAGAAGATACTTCAAAACAGAAAAAAATGGAGACTATGTATCCATTTATTGTAACTTTAGAGGGGAATGCTCTCCAGGGTCCCATTTTGCAAAAAGACTATGTACAGTTAGAAAATCAATGGGAACCCCCCCCAGAGGATTTACAGACAGATTTAGCAAAACTGGTAGATCAGCAGAACCCCACTCTGGGAGAGACACCTGAGAACTCCAACTTGGAAGAACCTCTCAACCCCAAACCCCATAAGAAAAAGAGTCCAGGAGAGAAACCTCACCGATGTCCTCAGTGTGGAAAATGTTTTGCTCGAAAGTCACAACTTACTGGGCATCAGAGAATTCATTCAGGAGAAGAACCTCACAAATGCCCTGAATGTGGGAAAAGATTCCTTCGTAGTTCAGATCTTTATAGACACCAACGACTTCATACAGGGGAGAGACCCTATGAATGCACTGTATGTAAAAAGCGATTCACTCGGCGGTCACATCTCATAGGGCACCAGAGAACCCATTCTGAAGAAGAAACATATAAATGTCTTGAGTGTGGGAAAAGTTTTTGTCATGGATCAAGTCTTAAAAGACATCTGAAAACTCATACAGGTGAAAAACCTCATAGATGTCATAATTGTGGGAAAAGTTTTAGTCGACTGACAGCTCTTACTTTGCACCAGAGAACGCATACTGAAGAGAGACCTTTTAAGTGTAATTATTGTGGGAAAAGTTTTAGACAGAGACCAAGCCTCGTTATTCATTTAAGAATCCACACAGGGGAGAAGCCGTACAAGTGTACTCATTGTTCTAAAAGCTTCAGACAGAGAGCTGGCCTTATTATGCACCAGGTCACTCACTTTAGAGGACTTATTTAAGAATCGCTGAAACAGGTCCTACACAAATTGACACTAACTCAAAAAAAATCTTAACCTGCAGCAGGCTGTTTGTCTTGGAAGCTTTTGTTTAAGCTTATAAGATAGACAACTATTTTTTTTTTTTTTTTTGCTAGTTTTAAAACCCATCTTCCAAGCTATATGAATTTTAGAGTATTTATCTATTCTTGTGATTTTCTTAGATTTGATTTCTTCTGTCAGCACAACTCTTCTTTTTTTAATTACAATGAAAAATTTTGTGTTCCAAGGCAACTGTATCATAGGTGTAAACATAAAGCATATAAATTATGACAATCCTTTTAGAGGTAGGGTCAATATAGTGGATAAACATGTCTATCAGATGTATTGATTATAGCAGTACTATAGTTATTCTGCTGTCATTATTAAAGATGATTATATTCATTCAAAGCTTTAGATGTGTCCCATGTGGCAAGAAAGGAGACAGTGAATTTTGTCAAACAATAAAAATGTGTCAGGAACACAAGGATGAAGGGGATGTCATTTGCCTGGTAAGAACTGGGTTATTTCTACTGAAATTTTTTATGTTTAAAGAAATTAAGATTTTAACCTTTACTTTTGAATTTTGCAAAGTTTGCTAGTCTGCTTAGTCAGCAGTCTGTGGTAATGCTGCTAAAAGCAGAGTATTAATCTGGTAATTTATTTTGTTCACAGAATAAGTAAGCTCTATGTCTGGAAGAATCCATTTGGCAATTGAAATTATACGAGCAGGATCTAATTTAATTGTGATTGACTGAAGAACCAGGGTCTTTTGCTCTCCTTTGGTATTTCACTCTCCTTTGGTATTCAATCATGTGTCTTTCAGTGCTTTTTAAAATTTTACCCATTCTTTAATTTAGTGTCTCCATATGTGTGTGTCATAGAATACTTAGTTCTGCTAGATATTCTGCAAATATATTTGGGAATTGCTTCCTGCTGTTTCGCCTTCTTAGATTCATAGTGCACATCAGCATGTGAGAATCTCTGAGAGGTCTTCTAGAAAGGAGAGAAAAAGCACCTCTTTTGGCTCAATGTTTTCCAAACTTATTTGACCCCAAAACCTTTTTCATATACCCAATAATAAGCTACAGAACTAATAATCTGCAAATGTCTCTTGGAACACACTGCCTTAAACAGATATTTCTATAGCTATCAGTATAGTTAAGTTGCTCCCAAGCCTAGTTATCTCCAGTTGTTTTAAGGGTGTTATGAAAAATTCTTAAAATATATATGAATTTGTATAACACACACAGAGACACACACACACATATACATACATACTATAAGGGGGTGAGGGTCACTAATTCAGATAATTTTTAAGTTGCCTAGTGATTCTCAATCTCTTTGAATTTTACTTATATTTACACACACACACATAGGTATATACACATATCATTTTAAGAAGATGAGGATCACTAATTCAGATAATTTATAAGTTGCCCAGTGATTCTCAACCTCTTTGAATTTTACTTATAATTACATACACACACACACACACACACACACACACACACACACACACGCTGCTACTTATATAAATGTTCTCATGTAATCATGGTAACAGCTCAAATTCCCAAAGCAAGGGAAGACTTCTCATTGTCAGTTAAACCTGTTAAAACATGAAAATATTCATTGAGCCTAGTTCCTTGTTGTAAAATACAAGAAATAGGACATTCAAGCATTTTCCCTTTATGAAGATACTCAGTCATTCTTTCCTTAAACTACAATTAGGGAAAGTATATCTCTTCTATTCCTTTGAAGTTCTCGAAAGTGATGTAAGTACTTTGGGGGTATCTACTATGTGCCTAACTAGTCCTAGTCCTGTTCTAGGCTTAGTGGAAGCTAGTAAAGAAATGTAATTCATGGATCAGGCTCATAAAGATTTTATAATATTTTTAGTTAAACAAGAGTTGGGAAACAGGTGGAGAAAAATGCAAGAGAGTTTGTAATTAAGTGCCAATTATACCAATTGCTAGACCTAGGATGTATCTTTAATTCTTGTCATCCAGGTCCTTGTGTGATGCTGCTATAAGTCTGGGGCTCAAACTGATATCCCAGTAGCAATAAACGTATAATATGGGAGGAGTCCAAATGTAGAGATGAAAAATACAGAATGTGATGGCTTCTCTTTTCTCTCTTGTGGAATTGCATTCAAACCAGAACAGTGCCTTAGAATGGATGTGCCCAACTGCTCTGTATTTATGCAATATTTTAATAAAGCAGAAATGTATGTGCTCTTCCTGCTTCACTTGCACTAATTAATTTTTTGAACAACTTAGAGCTTCTTCCCTGAACAGTGGCAACAAGCATGGCAATTGACTCCTGTCCTCATCCCAAGTTGGAATCGCTTTTCTCTCTGCAACCATGGCACTGTGATTATGCATCATTTTTAGCATTTAATATAGTCCATTTTTGGCTAGTAGGGTTAGTTGCAATCATAATATGAGTTGTATCCTCCCTCTCATTTATATCAAGTATACTTGACTAGATTTTTACAAGTTAGAGAATGTCTAATATTCTTTTTTACAGTGCCCTATATATAAGAATTAATACATATTTGTGGCATTGAATCAAGAAACATGTGAAATAGTTCTTGGAAACAGATAACATATTTAGAACATTACATGGATAATTATACTTCTATGCCTAATTGTACTTCTGAGCATTTCAAAAAGATAAAGGCAAAATATGGTACCTACCTCCTAGCTATTATAAAGGGGAAAATACAGTACCTACCTCAAAAGTACTATGAAGATTAAATGAAATATATTTGGCTCTGGCCCTACACACTGTAAGCTTTCAATAAATGTCCCCCATGTTATATTCTCATTCTTTGTAGTTTAATGATAAAAGTATTTAAAGCTATAGATTTCTTCTCTTTATGGCTTTGGACATCATAACTTTTATATGTAATGTTCTTATTGATTATTTCAAAATTGTTTTTTTCATTATAATTCCTCTTTGACTTAAGAGATGTACAACGTTGCCATTTTCCTCTTAATTTTTGGTTTTGCTACATTGTGATTAGTCTGGGCCCAGCCCCCTGCTTCTTTAATAGTCCTCTGTAACAGATGTGAAATGGATTGGTAAGAGAGCTCATCTCTTAGCCTCTCCTTAGCATTGATAATCAGTTTACTCAGTTCCCAATCCCTGAGACTTTAACCACTGGGATTGGAAGTGGTGGTAAATCTCTTTCTCCTGGAGTGATATATAGGTTAGCCTCTATCCAGCTTTTTGTGCCTTGTGAGAAAGGACTTCTCAGAGTTCTAGCAAGACCTAAGTTTACATTTCCTAAGAATTCTAAGATAGTAAAAAATACTAAAATATTGATATATTTTAAATATTTACATTTAATGAACATCTTTATCACCTAATACAAGAATATAAATGTATTAATTACTGAAGATAACTTCAAAACTCTAAAATGTGAGGCCTTTCCTGAAAATCAGACCTTACCTGTTGGCCCTAGAAGAGATCTGTTTACCTCTACTTTGAAGTGTATTCTACAGTAATTCTTCAGCCACCTCTTCTCAACTAGATTCCTTTCCTATGAAAGTAGAGGGTGAGCAGTGAAGAACTAGAGGCCCTTCATCTTAACCTGGAGTGAAAGGAAACACTTGTACTGCCTTATCTCCCGAGAAGTACAATTCATCTTGGGAAGACTAGAGTCCCTTTTCCTAAGATGTTACTTACATGCTGCTGTAACACACACACACACCCCCCACACACACATGGGTATAGGGAATAGGGAAGAGAAAAAGAAGTGTGTGTGTGTGTGTGTGTGTGTGTGTGTATGTATATATTTTAGACGAAGTTTTGCTCTGTCACCCAGGCTGGAGTGCAGTGGCATGATCTTGGCTCACTGCAACCTCTGTCTCCTGGGTTCAAGCAATTATCCCTCCCTCAGCCTCCCAAGTAACTGGGATTACAGGTGCCCGCCACCATGACTGACTAATTTTTGTATTTTTAGTAGGATAGGATTTCACCATGTTGGCCAGACTGGTCTCGAACTCCTGGGCTCAAGTGATCTGCCTGCCTCGGCCTCCCAAAGTGCTGGGATTACAGGCATGAGCCACCGTGCCCGACCAGAAGTGTACAATTCTTAACCCCAATTCCTCCATTTTCAAGCAGAGAGATGGTATAATTAACACTGAGAAGTTCTATGTTTACCAAACAAATGACCTTGACAAAGTCTCCAAGTCTTGATTTCTTTACCTGTTGTGGGAATTTTAAAGTATACCCTCAAATTATTTTCCCATAAAAAATGGAGTCTCTGTCCCCTGCCCTTGAATCTGGGCAGGCTTGAGACTGCTACTAAAGGAATAAGTGATACTCTGTTACTTCTGAGGTGGGGTCATAAAAGATGTTGTAGCTTCCATCTTGTTCAGTAGAAGCACTTGCTCTTGGATCCCATGTAGGAAGTCTGATCAATATGGAGAGGTACCTGTAGGCTGTCTGGTGGTTATTCTGAACTGAGCTTGTTCTTCAGCCACCTCGGCCATCTCATTTTGTCTTAGAAGTGGATCCTTCAGCTCTAGCAGTTGCAACCCCAAAACATTTGAGTCATCCTAGCTGAGGCCCTACATATCTTGGGTAGAGAAGAGCCATCCCCCTGTGCCCTGTCCACATTCCTAACTCACATAATTTGAAAGCATAATAATATGACTACTGTTTTACACTGTTGAACTTTGGAGTGGTTTGTTACACAGCAGTAGAGAGTGGTAATATCTTTAAAGCAGATATAACATCTGGTAAGATGAACAACTGGGAAACAGACACTAAAGCATTTAGAAAACAGACCTACAAATAGCTAATGGGTATATGCTCAACATCACTAATCATCAGGAAAATACAAACTAAAATGACAATGAGATATCATGTCACACCTGTTAGAATGGCTGTTATCCAACAGCAACAACAAAACAAGATAACAAGTGTTGGTGAAGATGTGAGAAAAAAGAACCCTCCTATACTCTAGGTGGGAATGTGAATTGGTACAGCCATTATAGAAAACAATATTGAGATTTCTCAAAAAATTAAAAATAGAACTACTGGCCGGGCGCGGTGGCTCAAGCCTGTAATCCCAGCACTTTGGGAGGCCGAGACGGGTGGATCACGAGGTCAGGAGATCGAGACCATCCTGGCTAACATGGTGAAACCCCGTCTCTACTAAGAAATACAAAAAAAACTAGCCGGGCGAGGTGGTGGGCGCCTGTAGTCCCAGCTACTCGGGAGGCTGAGGCAGGAGAATGGCGTGAACCCGGGAGGCGGAGCTTGCAGTGAGCTGAGATCCGGCCACTGCACTCCAGCCTGGGCTACAGAGCGAGACTCCGTCTCAAAAAAAAAAAAAAAAAAAAAAATAGAACTACTATCTGATCCATCAATACCACTTCTGCATATATATTTAATTAAAATCAGTATCCCAAAGAGATATTTACACTACCATGTTCATTTGAGCACTTTTCACAATAGCTAAGATATAAAATCAGTCTTAGTGTATATAGACTGATAAATGGATGAAGAAAATGTGAGATATGTATGCAGGGATTTTGTTGTATTGT